AATTCTCAAGAAAAAGTGTCACAGAAGTATAAAGTCACAATTGTATCACTGCGGGCCCAACTACATAGTACATTGCAATGGCTAGATAATAGTTTTTTCCTTAATTACGATACAATTGGGGAGTTACTGGAACAGTAAGATATGGAAGATGTTCATGGGGCTTGTGTGCAAGATTAGAAGATTCTTACTCCTCCAAGAATGATGCTCCACTCTCATCTTTGAGGGCAACCCCCAATCAAAATGACGGCAAATGGATAAAAAAAAATATTTCGTGGCAAGTCTACTAGTCAAGCTCAAGATAATTAAAGTAATGAACAGCCCAAATCATTAGCGGAGTATTTAGAAATTTATTTTAATGCCGATCTGTTTGTATTGTTTGCTATCGCTGCTGAGCAATATTAAATGGCCGAAAAAGGCCAGCAAATGAAATCGCAATGTAGATCTAATGAAATCAAAATAATATTTGGGGTTCATAGGACTATGAATTGCATTAAATGCCCTCGAATAAATTTTTTTTGTATTGTGACTTTGAATGAGTTGGGCCCACGATGATACAATTGTACGCCCCCTGAAAAACCATGAAAACAACATAGTACCACTGAAAATGTTCAATTTTCATTTTCTCTGATCCCCAAAGATAATGAATATCGATTTTTTTTATTACTACCTTGTTTAGTTTCGTCGTGGGTCTGAAAGGGATAGGTAGACGTCTCCGAAAAGGTAATTCGTACCTACCATATGAGTTTATATGACCTTATTAAAATATGATGTACAAACGAGAGAGTGAGTAGACTAAAGGACGAAGCACACTTATCAACCCGGAAACGGATCGCAACCGTATCAACTCGGGGCGGTCGTACTGAAAAACTTATGTGCACCGTAACGTACGCCTCGCCTCCCGGCGAAAGGCGATACAGTAACACTGTCCTGTCACATCCCTTTCCGAGTTGATTAGTCTGCTATGACCTTAACCGCGATTACCTAACCACAAAAAGCGCATGTTGATATTTACGTATGTAGATATTTGTAGCAATTACAGTAATATTTCCACGATTTTGTTTTCAAAGGACATCATCCAGTTTGGTCCAAAATCAAATGTGCCGGCCAAAAAATAAAAGTACTGTATTCTGATAGAATACGTCCGCCTTAACATTTATTACTATGGCACCAAAGCTGTAGCACCACTGTGCATCGTAGTATTTGAGTTCTAAAAATATATGAAACGACTGACTTTGATCTCAAATACTACGATGCACAGTGGTGCTACAGCTTTGGTGTCATAGTAACAAATGCTAAGGCGGACGTATTCTGTCAGAATACAGCACTTTTTTTTTATTGGTCGACATTTTTGATTTTGAACAAAAAATGTATGAATCGTCGATGAATTTTAGATCTCAAATACTCGACGCATAGTGGTGCTACAGCTTTGGTGCCATAGTAACAAATGCTAAGGCGGACGTATTCTGTCAGCATACAGCACTTTATTTTTAATTGGCCGACACTTTTGATTTTGAACAAAAAATGTATGAATAGTCGATGACTTTTAGATCTCAAATACTCGACGCACAGTGGAGCTACGGCTTTGGTGCCATAGTAACAAATGCTAAGGCAGACGTATTCTGTCAGAATACAGCACTTTTTTTTGTTGGCCGGCACTTTTGATTTTGGACCAAAAATATATGAAACGTGGATGATGTCCTTTCTTTGGGTCAAAGTATAACTTAAGTTCAGTTAAATAGAAAGGGTCTTAACGTGCCATTTATTAATGAGTTACATTATGTACTCACGGCTGACGTTTCTTAAGACCCGTGTTTTTTTATTGTCGAAATAGAACGCGAATGTTCAAAATCTTAGGCTGAGTTGCACCATCTTACTTTAACTTCGACAAACGTCAAAAATCTGTCAAACTCCATATGCTGCGTTTACACTGCGCGAAAATTAGCCAAGTCAAGTCAAAAAAACAGTGGAGTGGGGATGAATTATGAATTAATTTCATCCCCACTCTTCTGTTTTTTTGACTTGACTCGGCTAATTTCCGCATAGTGTAAAAGCAGCAATACAAAAAGCACGGGTCACTGTTATTGTTACGGTCAAAATAAGGTGGTGCAACTTAGCCTTATGTTACAAACCGATAGAGGTCAGTTAGCTGACCTCGAAGGGGTCGGAGAAGCCGTGGTACGCGGGGCGACAGATTTAATCATTGTATGCAAGTACCTCAGTTTGTATAGAAAACACGCGCGCGCGGCACAACAGACTGGCAATGCGTCTGCGCGCAGGACTTTTTATATGAAATCACGCGGACCGCGGCGCAGGGTGATAACCGCCTATGTACTCACGGCTTGACTTAAGACCCGTGTCTTTCTATTTAATTTGAAATGGAACGCGAAAGTTGAAAATCTTATGTTACAAACCGATAGAGGTCAGTTAGCTGACCTCGAAGGGGTCTGAGAAGCCGTGGTAGGGGTAGATGCCGCCGAGGATGTACTTGTAGTTGCCGTAGTGGTGCAGGCGGTACGTGCCAGGCTGCGTTCCCGCGGGGATGTCCCACTGTAGCTGGGCGTGGCTCGTGCCCAGGACCACGGAGTTGCGGCGCCAGATGTACCTGGAGTGGAGAATTATAGTCAATAGCGGTGTAAGGGGGGGGGGGGGGGCTGTCCCCCCCGGGTGCCAGGCATTAGGGGGTGACAATAACAGTCACGCAGATTAGTACTCACTGGCGCAACTGCATGACAAAGATCGCGATTGGTATCCAAATATCATGGGGGGTACCAGACCATTCTGGGGTGCCTTACCCCCTGCTATTTATGTATACCTAACTTACATTATGGACTTATGACGGGCCGGGTGCCATCCCATGCTACGCCGCCACTGATTATAGTCGTTAATGCTAATAGGGAGAGAGAGCAATATCGAAAGCAATCGCATGGCGAGAAACCGCGCACCATGCGAAAGAAAATGTAGCATTTGGCCTACACTGGCCCAGGTTCGCCAGATGAATTATGAAGGCCTGATATTCGCATTTCCCTTAGTACGACATCCACGGAAAGAATGGTACTATCTACGAATATTATGTCTTATTCTACTTTGCGGGAACCACATGGCTAAAATATTACTAGGTAGTCATTGATACAAACGAGACTATTTCCCCTTCTCGTTGCCATCGGTGCAACTATTGCATAATCAGGATATTTTATACAGCTTGATCATCAATAAAAACCCCACCAGTGAAGGCCGATTTTGTCGCGAATGAAAACTAAATTCGCAACTAAATTTAAAAAAATGTATTTATCAAAAGAACATGGAACTTTGAAGATAAGTATCGACTTTCCTCCAGTACAGTGCCGTACTCAAAGGAATATCGTACTTATTGTTAATTGCTAAACAGAGGAAGAGTATCGAACTCACTTGGTCTCCCAGTCCGCGTCAGTAGCAACGACCACCCACGCGTCGTCTTGCTCCGACACCAGCCGCTCCACCGTCCCGTAGCCGCGCCCGTGACGAAGCGAGTTACGGGGATTGCCCGCTACCTGCAATACGATGGTACGGCGTCAGACATATCTATATAGGGGAGAGTTCGGTATATTGTACCGCCGGGTAAATTGTACCACCCTCATATTTCGTAAAGTATTTATTGAATATCTGTAATTGCAACATTCAGCGATACACAACTAAAATAAATTAATATCGGTCATGTGGTTTTTGCCGTGACAACAAACACGTGTGTTTTATTTTGAAAAGTATTTTTTCATTGTTTTCAAGTAACTTTTGACAATACATGTTTAGTTTGTAATTTTGTTAAATTTAATCACAGGGTGTTTCTAATATATTATTTAGAAGCGTAAATTAGTGTGGATTACAATTATTTTAAAAAAAATCGGTATTTATAAGCTATATTTTTTTACCGATTTTTTAAAAGCACTATCACCTAGTCGGCTAAATTGTACCACATCAAGTTGTATGGAACTTTACCAAAGGATTTTGAAATTTTTTTAGTAAATCATATATTGCAGTTATAATAGCGTAGTTATGTTTGACTAACAATAAATGAAAGCAAAAGACTGGCAAAGTAGATTAGGTACAAGTGTGCGTTATGATAATTGGAATTACAAAACTTGTACTCAAAATCGTGATAACGTGTAAAACAATATCGATTGTCTATGTTATTAACTACTGTTCCTTTTCGTTTCCTAATTTGTTAAGAATGTATCGTATAATATTTTGCCATAGTTTTTTTATAGGCTTGAAATTTATTGAAATTCAATTTAGTAACCCTGTGGTACAAATTATCCAACCGGTTGGCTAAATTGGACCGAAGCTCTGAACTCGTACTTTGTTGATTTGTGCTAAATATACAACAATCATGTTAATTAATACTTATGAAATAGTAACTTGAATAATGTATCTTTTATTATATACCATGGACATTAGCAAAAACAAAAGAAAACTATGTGTAAAATGGGATTGAAAAAAACTGGTCCAAATTAGCGGACTCTCCCTTATATAAAAGAAAGTCGTGTTAGTTACTTCGCTTATAACTCAAGAACGGCTGAACCGATTTAGCTGAAAATTGTCAGGGAGGTAGTTTAGAGCCAGGAGAAGGACATAGGATACTTTTTATCCCGTTCGAAATTAAAAAAAAGTCTGCTTATTTATTGCCATTAAGGCGGAACAAAGTTCGCCGGGTCAGCTAGTTCTATATAAATGTACTAGCTTTCCGCCCGCGGCTTCGCCCGCGTGGAATTTTGTCTGTCACAGAAAAACTTTATCGCGCGCGTCCCTGTTTCAAAAACCGGGATAAAAACTATCCTATGTTCTTTCCCGGGACTCAAACTATCTCTATGCCAAATTTCATCAAAATCGGTTGCGAGGTTTAAGCGGGAAAGCGTAACAGACAGACAGACAGACAGACAGACAGACAGACAGAGTTACTTTCGCATTTATAATATTAGTTGGGATAAGGTCCAAAAAAATCAAAATCAAAAATATTTATTCAGTTTAGACTACAAGTGGCACTTATGATGGTCCTTCAACCAAGATAATAGGCTAGATAAAAAAATTTCAATTATTTGTCCGTCAGACAGATAATTATTAGAAAATATTAACTCATATTTTTTATTTTGTTTCATAATTAAATAATAACAGTGCCACATCGAGTTGAAATGGCGCGATACGTCACGCTTGAGTAGAATTTTTACTCAAAAGTGACGTCATACAACATTTCAACTCAATATAATGCTGTAATTATTGGATTATGAAAAAAAATAAAAAATATGAGTAATATTTTCTAATTATCTGTCTGACGGACTAAATAGAATTTCGATTTAATTACCCAGTCATCATCCCTATTGCGAGTGATGTGCAGGGCCACTGTCCTAAAATAGTAAGACCCGTGTCTCACTATTTTAGTTGAAATGGGACGCGAAAGTTTAAAATCTTACACTGTTCTAAAGTTGTTGAATATTCTATCAATGTCATGGAAAGCAAGATGCCAGCCTGAGCAACTGAGACAGATAGTCACAAAACTGTGTAATAAATTTTGTTATGTAGAAAAATTGCAGTTACTGCCACCTGCCCCCTAGACTAAACTCCCCACTTCCCCTGAGCGATAATTTCCCTCGCCTAATCAGGTAAGGTGAGAATCATCCTACCCCTGGGCGAGAATCCTCTTACCACTGGGTAAGAATCCTCCTACCCCTGGGCCAGAATCCTCACCCCTCTTCCTCTGGGCGAGAATCCTCTTTCCCCCTGCACGAGAATCCCCTTCTTACTGTGCGAAAATCGGTCTTCCCCGAGCGAAAATCCTACCCTTTGGGTAAGAATTCTGCTCTGTAAAAATGGGTTCGCTCAGGATTCTGGAATCCCCCTCCTCTGAGCGAGAATTTTTCTTTCTGGGGCGTGAACCTTCCTTCCCCCTGAATGAGGATCTCCCAACCCCTGACCCCTTACTAGACACCTTATCCCAGCAATACTTACAAAGGTAGGAATTCTGGAATCCCCCTCCCTCTCTGGAGCGAGAATCCTCCCTCCGCCTGAGTGAGAATCCCCTTACCCCTGACCTTTACTAGAGACTACTTAGACCTGAACCCATTAATACTTACAAAAGTAGCCGTAGCGGTGTCCCCGTACCCGTATCGCCTCTCGGGTGGAGGCAGTCTCCGAACTCCTTGCCCCACGGCGCCGCGTCCCACAGCACCGGCGTCACCAGCGTGATCAGCTGGCTGCTGAAGTCCGGCGGCTCCGGCCCGGGCTCGAGAGACGCGCCCTGGGAGGACCGGGGATCACCTCCCCTGGAAAAGAATCCCCCTCCACCTGGGCGAAAATCGTCCTCCCCAGGCGTGAGCCTCTTCCCCCTGCACGAGTATCCTCTCCCCTAGGTAATAATCTCCCTCCCTTTGGCCTTAAAGCCCGTGATCTTACACAGCCTTTACCCGGCAATACTTACAAAAGTAGCGGTGACGGTGTCCTTCCCTTTGGGTAAGAATTCTGCTCCGCGAGAATGGGTTCGCCCAAGATTCTGGAATCCCCCTCCCCTAAGCGAGAATTCTTCTCCTCTCTGGGGTGATAATCCTCCTTCCGCCTGAGTGAGAATCTCCCTATCCCTGACTCTTACTAGACACCTTATCCCAGCAATACTTACAAAGGTAGGAATTCTGGAATCCCCCTCCCCTCTCTGGGGCGAGAATTCTCCTTCGCCCTAAGCGAAAATCTCCCGATCCTTGACCCTTACTAGAGATTACTTAGACCTGAACCCATTAATACTTACAAAAGTAGCGGTGGCGGTGTCCCCGTACCCGTATCGCTTCTCGGGCTGGTGGAGGCAGTCTCCGAACTCCTTGCCCCACGGCGCCGCGTCCCACAGCACCGGCGTCACCAGCGTGATCAGCTGGCTGCTGTAGTCCGGCGGCTCCGGCCCGGGCTCGAGAGACGCGCCCTGGGAGGACCGGGGATCACCTCCCCTGGAAGAGAATCCCCCTCCACTTGGGCGAATATCCTCCTCCCCAGACGTGAAGTCTCTTCTTCCTGGACGAGTATCCTCTCTCTTCGGTAGTAATCTTCCTCCCCCTGGCCTTAAAGCTATGTACGCCCATGATTTTACATAGCCTTTACGAGAATCCCCTTCTTACCTCCCACTGGGCGAGAATCCTACCCTCTAGGAAAAAATTCTACTCCGCGAGAAATGGTTCGCCCAGAATTCTGGAATCCCCCTCGCCTGGGCGAAAATCCTCCTCCCCCAGGCGTGAAACCTCTTCCCCCTACACGAGAATCCCATTCTTACTGTGCGAAAATCGGTCTTCCCCAATCGAGAATCCTCCCCCTGGTCGAGAATCCTTCCCTCTGGGTAAGAATTCTGCTACGCGAGAATGGGCTCGCCCAGGATTCTGGAGCGAGAATTCTCATCCCTGTGGCGAGAATCTTCTTTCCCCCTGAGTGAGAATCCCCTTAACCCTGGTTCTTACTAGAGATCTTAACACAGCAATACTTACAAAAGTAGCCGTTGCGGTGTCCCCGTACCCGTATCGCTTCTCGGGCTGGTGGAGGCAGTCTCCGAACTCCTTGCCCCACGGCGCCGCGTCCCACAGCACCGGCGTCACCAGCGTGATCAGCTGGCTGCTGTAGTCCGGCGGCTCGGGCCCGGGCTCCAGAGACGCGCCCTGGAAGGACCGGGGATCACCTCTAATGGGAGAGAATCCCTCTCCGCCTGGGCGAATATCCTCCTCCCCAGACGTGAAGTCTCTTCCTCCTGGACGAGTATCCTCTCACTTCGGTAGTAATCTTCCTCCCCCTGGCCTTAAAGCTATGTACGTCCATTATTTTACATAGACTTTACGAGAATCCCCTTCTTACTGTGCGAAAATCGGTCTTCCCCAAACTAGAATCCTCCCCCTGGTCGAGAATACTTCCCTCTGGGTAAGAATTCTGCTCCGCGAGAATGGACTCGCCCAGGATTCTGGAGCGAGAATTTTTCTCATCTCTGTGGCAAGAATCCTCCTTCCCCCTGAGTGAGAATCCCCCTCCGCCTGGGCGAATATCCTCCTCCCCAGACGTGAAGTCTCTTCCTCCTGGACGAGTATCCTCTCTTCGGTAGTAATCTTCCTCCCCCTGGCCTTAAAGCTATGTACGCCCATGATTTTACATAGCCTTTACGAGAATCCCCTTCTTACTGTCTGCGAAAATTGGTCTTCCCCGAGCGAGAATCCTCCCACTGGGCGAGAATCCTACCCCCTGGGTAAGAATTCTGCTCCGCGAGAATGAGCTCGCCCAGGATTCTGGAATCCCCCTCCCCTGAGCGAGAATTCTTCTTCTCTTCTTGATGTACTAAACAGGTTAAGATCACACTTTTTAAAGCCTACTGTAACTCTCTGTACACGTGCAGCCTGTGGACAAACTACACCCAAGGAGCATACAGGGCCCTGCGCACTCAGTATAATGACGCATTCAGGATGCTGATGGGGCTGCGACGATACTGCTGTGCTTCAGGGATGCTGGCAGAAGATTTCAGATTCCTGGCCCTTACTCCTTAACCCAGAAATACTTACAAAGGTAGCGGTGGCGGTGTCCCCGTACCCGTATCACTTCTCGGGCTGGTGGAGGCAGTCTCCGAACTCCTTGCCCCACGGCGCCGCGTCCCACAGCACCGGCGTCACCAGCGTGATCAGCTGGCTGCTGTAGTCCGGCGGCTCGGGCCCGGGCTCGAGAGACGCGCCCTGGAAGGACCGGGGATCATCTCCCCTGGGAGAGAATCCCCTCCGCCTGGGCGAATATCTTCCTCCCCCAGACGTGAAGTCTCTTCCTCCTGGACGAGTATCCTCTCTCTTCGGTAGTAATCTTCCTCCCCCTGGCCCTAAAGCTAATTACGCCCATGATCTTACATAGCCTTTACGTGAATCCCCTTCTTACTGTGTGCGAAAATTGGTCTTCCCGGAGCGAGAATCCTCCCACTGGGCGAGAATCCTACCCCCTGAGTAAGAATTCTGCTCCGCGAGAATGGGCTCGCCCAGGATTCTGGAATCCCCCTCGCCTGGCCGAAAATCCTCCTCCCTAGACGTGAAGCCTCTACCCCCTGCACGAGAATCCCCTTCTTAGTATGCGAAAATGGGTCTTCCCCGAGCGAGGATCCTCCCCATGGGCGGGAATCCTACCCTCTGGGTAAGAATTCTGCTCCGCGAGAATGGGTTCGCCCAAGATTCTGGAATCCCCCTCCCCTAAGCGAGAATTCTTCTCCTCTCTGGGGTGATAATCCTCTTTCCGCCTGAGTGAGAATCTCCCTATCCCTGACTCTTACTAGAGACCTTAACCCAGCAATACTTACAAAGGTAGGAATTCTAGAATCCCCCTCCCCTCTCTGGAGTGAGAATCCTCCTTCCCCCTGAGCGAGAATCTCCCGATCCTTGAACCTTTTCTAGAGACCTAAACCCAACAATACTTACAAAAGTAGCGGTGGCGGTGTCCCCGTACCCGTATTGCTTCTCGGGCTGGTGGAGGCAGTCTCCGAACTCCTTGCCCCACGGCGCCGCGTCCCACAGCACCGGCGTCACCAGCGTGATCAGCTGGCTGCTGTAGTCCGGCGGCTCCGGCCCGGGCTCGAGAGACGCGCCCTGGGAGGACCGGGGACCACCTCCCCTGGGAGAGAATCCCCCTCCGCCTGGGCGAATACCCTCCTCCCCCAGGCATGAAACCTCTTCCCTCCCCCTCTTCTATCCCCTTCTTAAAGTGCGAAAATCGGTCTTCCCCGAGCGAGAATCCTACCCTCTGGGAAAAAATTCTACTCCGCGAGAAATGGTTCGCCCAGAATTCTGGAATCCCCCTCGCCTGGGCGAAAATCCTCCTCCCCAGACGTGAAGCCTCTCCCCCTGCACGAGAATCCCCTTCTTACTGTGCGAAAATCAGTCTTCCCCCAGCGAGAATCCTCCCCCTGGGCGAGAATCCTATCCTCTGGGTAAGAATTCTGCTCCGCAGGAATAGACTCGCCCAGGATTCTGGAATCCCCCTCCCCTCTCTGGGGCGAGAATTCTCCTTCGCCCTGAGCGAGAATCTCCCGATCCTTGACCCTTACTAGAGATTACTTAGACCTGAACCCATTAATACTTACAAAAGTAGCGGTGGCGGTGTCCCCGTACCCGTATCGCTTCTCGGGCTGGTGGAGGCAGTCTCCGAACTCCTTGCCCCACGGCGCCGCGTCCCACTAATCGCTGTGATAATCCTTTTAGTAACTGATAAATGGCTGCGTACTTAAAAGATACAAGATAAAATTATCAATGTTTTGTCGTATATATAAAATTATCAATGCCTAATAACATTAATTAGGAGATAACTAATTTCACGAGTTAAGTAATATCGTATATTATTACCTAACTACATGCTTTTTATTGTAGCGTAGTAGCTATCTAGTAGTGTTGGCTTATTCCACTATTCCCCGTTGACAATCCCCGTTAACGCCAATTGGAGCTTTTAAATGGGGAATAATGAACTGAAAAGTTCATTAATCCCCGTTGTTATTAGGATTTTATTTTGAACGTAATGGGGATTAGTGAACTTTTTAGTTCATTATTCCCCATTATAAGTTCCAATTGGCGTTAACGGGGAATAGTGAACAAAAAGTTCATTAATCCCCGTTGACGGGGATTGTCAACGGGGAATAGTGGAATAAGTCCGTTCGAACGACATAAGGAAAGGGTTAAGCAACTTTTAAAAAACACAAAAAAACAAACACAACTTCAACTTCATTTCGTTTCTTGGATGTGATTTACAGAACTTTATTCTAATTTCAGTAATTAGTAATTAGGTTATGGGGGGAGAAAAAAATCTTTCTTACAAAAAACAAAAAATCTTTATTATAAAAGACATTATCTTTCCAAACTGTAAATAATCAAAAAGTAGAAGTATTACAATATACATAACTTCAACTCATTATTGAAATAGGACTAGCTTACGACACAATAAAAGTATAATTAAATTAATTATAAATTAAAAATACCAATAAACCAGCCAATAAATAAGGTATATTCACATCGCCACGTCAAGTAATACTTTAAGACCGCCAAACCGCCTATGCGATGTAAACATACCCTTAACTTTAGGGTTGCCTATGTATTTTTTTTATTAATGGCAGGTTGGCAACCCCTGCAAAATGCCGGCTATAATAACTTAAAGCTAACTGTACAGGCTTATTATCCATTATACTACTTTGGTCTCACTTATCGCACTAATTTATTAATTGATCGTCTTCTCTGTTACATTTTAAAATTGCTAAACTATATCAAAAATATTTTAAAAAATACGTATTACTTAATAGTCAATAGTCACCTAACTTAGAAACC